CGGTCCATGCTGTACGGGGCCCTCTCCTAAAATGGGCTTGTGCCCCCCCAAGGGTGGATTCGGGGGCCAGCCGTGCAGACCAGCAGCTGGAGCAGAAGCCGTGCCCGTGTGGGGCTGTGTGTTGAGAGTCCTGGGTGAGGTACGTACTAATTTGGCTCCTCAGCTCTGAGACAGTGGGATGCTGTGACCGTGGGAGTCGTCCGAAACGCCGGCCTCACAAATGTTTCCATGCTGTGAAGTGCTCCCAGCCAAAATCTCCCTCCGGCTCAGCTCCACCAAAGACGATGAGCAAATGCAGCCCAAGGGTGGGAGCTGAGCTGGGGAGGTCCCTCCAGGCAGCTGGAGCTCTGAGACAGAGAGCTGGGGTGGGGTGAAGTCACCCACAGCCCCCTCCCCCCTTCCCCCCCCCCCAGTGCTGCTGAGCACCAGCTCCGAGCACTGCAGGAGCCCAGGCAGGGCCCGGCATGGGGACAGGGACACTGCCCATGGAAGGAGGAAGGTGCTGAGCACTCCCTCTCCCTACCCTGCTTCCCACAGCCCCGAGCCCGGGGAAAGGGACAGGAGGGGTGCGGGGAGCGCAGCCGCTCCCCCCAGCTCCGAGCCCGGGGGAAGGGACGGGAGGTGTGCGGGGAGCGCAGCCGCCCCCACCCCACGCAAGCGGCAGCGGGTGCATCATCACCTGCCTTCCTCTTCCTCCCCCTCGCCAGGCTCCCAGCAGCGCCCCGGGGAGGGCGAGCAGGCAGAGAAGCCAGGAAGCCAGCCCAGGAGCGCTGGGGGGATCGGAGGCGATGGATTCAGCGGAACGGCATCTGTGAGTCACCGGCAGCACAGCGGAGGCCCGGGAGATGATGCTGGACAGCAGGCTCCTGCTTTGGGGATGGGCTTCCCGGGTTTGATGGCACCGACCTGCTTCAGAGCCGCCCAGCGGGACCGTGGCACCGGGGGCTGCGCTGGCAGCTGAGCTCAGGGAGAGCTGCTGCAGGGATGGGGGCGACTCGAGCGTCCTCTCCTCTCCCAAAGCGGCCAGGGGTGAGGCAGGGGCGGGGCCAC